ATAACTTCTTTATTCTGAAAATCTATTATGATCCTCTAAGTAACAAAATTGCTTCAGACTTCTCAGGATATACTTTGGCTACAAAGTAGAACACTAGTTTGTTTTAGCCAAAGTCTCAACAACTTCAACCTCAGTATCTGTATTAGCATACATGGATGATACACTTTGGATAGACAAATTCAAAGAAGAATTACAAACAATTATTACTACAACTACCTTCTTTTACCACATGACTGACATACAAATTAATCTAACTAAATTAATTTTTATTTCAAACATCTTATCTATAACTCCTATTCATTTTTTTAATTCATCACTTACACCTACTTCTGCCAACCAGCCATTCAAATTTTTAGAATGCTGGTTTGCTCTTGATAACTCTCATACAAAACAAAGCCAATTGATTTATGATAAAGCAATCTAACTTATCAAAATTACAGATACTAAAAGAATTACAGACAAACAAGCTATATATATTGCTAAAACTGCAATTATTCCTACTATTGAATACAGATTACATAACATAATTCTTAAATACTCTACCTGTGACAAAATTCTATCCAAATACCTTACTATAATTAAACATAAACCCAAACTCTTTCACACTAGTTCTAATAGCACCATGTTAAACCTTCACATATATAATATATATAATATTTAAGACATTTAGTTACAACATTATGTATTCTGCTTTCAACAAAGAATTAATGACCCAGAAACACTTAGCATCTCTACAAAGATTAGATTATAGCAACTTCAAAACCACCTTTGGTCTGCTACTAACATTCTTTAGTACAACTAACCACTTATTGATGGACCCAACAAACTTACACTTAACTTCAAAATTATACAACTTTTATAGCATTTGGGCATTTTAAGTTTAGCAAATTCTAATGTTCTGTGGCCTAATACAATTCATAATGGTTATCAACTATTAGAACTAATACTTATTCAGCATCCCAAATACAATATTTTTAGAAAACAATTTCAAAAAAATAATATACTTTACCTAGAATAACTATGTACTGTAAATAACAGTATTCTATTCAAATGGCATCATCTTTTATCCAAACTTCATCATCTAACTAAATAAAGGCAGCCTCTTTTGTTTACCTATCTTGAAGACACAATTTTGTCTAACAGACTATACCACCTAATTCTTCCTCATTTCCAATCATCTGGGGTTAATGCCTTTGCATATAACACTTTACTAATCAAGAAAACTATAGTTATTTACATATAGTAACAATAATGAAAAGATTATTATTGGCAAAATTTACAAATACTTTCTAAACACAAATCAGTTTTCTATCTCACACTAAAATGCTAATATTGATTTAAAACATAATCATTACTATTCTTTCAAGATCTGAACTGCACACCATATACTGGGTGTCATCTTAACTCAAATAGAATTAATTAGATATATACAATTAATGTATCAGCAACTATTTGTACCAGCTTTCTAGAAAGAATAACCCCTAAACTCAAACTTAATGCTAACTACCTGGATCTTATTTATTCAATAGCAATTAAACATCTTTCATAAATTCCATATACTATCCTACTATCAATATATTAAATTCAACTATTGCTGAAATTTTTAAATCTAGTGAATGTTCAAACAAACTTGAGAAAATCTTTCAAAACAATCTGTCATATAAGGAATTTATTTTTTATACAGATGAATTAGTAACTGATATTGGAACTGAACAAAGCTTAATAGGCATTAGATTGGTCCAAGTTAACAATAACAACCAAATTCTTTACAAATTCTTAGCTAAAATTCACTTTTGGCTATCAGCCTATAAGATGGAGCTCTTCTTTATTTTATTAACAATTTCAATCATACCTTGTAATGCAACACTTCAAATTTATACTGACTCACAATCTGTTATTTCTAAATTTTACAAACTTTCTACCCAACTTAATAATCCTAACAAACTCTTTAAATTCAATGCATGGTCCTTATAACATATACTCCTTAATATTATCAAATCTTTTAATTTAAATATTAACTTTCACAAAGTTCAAGTCTATACAGATAATACCTTTAATAACATGACTGATTCTCTAGCAAAACAACATATCTTTTCTCTACCTTTAAACTTTTAATATACAAATATTTACAATTTTTTTCATATTTTACAATGGAAACAAAATTTTGTTGAACTTTTTATCAGACATTTTGTTAAAAATATCTGTAAAGCACACATACTGGCAATGTGGTCTTCACAAAAATGAAACAATGAATCAGTTCATATTAACTACTATATAGACTGGAAATCTACATAGCTATACCTTAATCATAATCAAAAACCCACATCTAACTTCACTAGCTTTAAACTCAACCAATCTAAAACCTTCAATATTAAAGTCCTCCTAAATCAACTACCAATATACTTTTCTTATCACAATACCTATCCAATGATCTTTCCAAATACCAACTGCTTCCAATGCAATCTTCCTGACTCTCATTTATACTATTTAACTTACTCTAATTCATTTCTTGTTATAAACTTTATTAATTCATCAATTTAGTACATTTTATCTAAAGCAGATCTTAACTTATCTACTAGTCAACTACATGAACTTACTTGCAAAATTAAAAACCATTCTTCATTTGACTGAATACTATTTCAAGCAAACTCTTTTTATCTTGACCTTATTCTTAAAGGCCTTATACCTAAAGCCCTAATTGAAACAATTCATAACTATAACATATCTATTAAAATAGCTTTACAAACTATTATCCAAATACTTCTTAACATTAATGATCAAATTTATAATCAAATATAGAAACCTTACTGCATTAATTTTTCTAACTGAAAAAAAGATAATAATATTACATCTCTTATAAGCTCTAATAATAACTATACCTTCAATAAATACAGCAAACTAGAGATTACAAAAGATCACATATAAACTATATATACTCATGTCTATATAGAATAGCAGATCAATTACATTCACACCCTAATATTTGTTCATCAATTGAACAAGCTATTAGGAAAATCAACATATGGTCAACACTCTGAATTAACTATAATACATCTTATAACTACATTTTAATATTACAAATCTAGGTGAGCCTTGACCACCATAGTTAGTTTAGGTTACAGATAAAACTGTCTAAGCTTTAATTCTTGCATGTAGTTTTTATTTTGTAGTTTACAATCTTAGTATATTTTAGTATATAGTATATTAATATGTACAACTAAAATTACTAATAAAGATATAAGCAAGGCCTTACTTTAATACCAAAAAAAAAAACACCAATCATTATATACTTTATTAAGTCTTATTTTAAACTGTTTGAATTTGTCAAGTTATAATTTTTATATTATAGTTAAATAGCTTCTGTTATTATTGTTGAAAGAAAAATCTTTAAATTAATATTCTTATAATTTAAATTAATATTCTTATAATAAACTATCTTATACAAAAAACACAACATTAATATTAACTATCTTAGAATCAATATTTATAATATTCAAGAAATTAATAAAAATTTCAAACTTCAACTATAAAAAGAATACTCAAAAATAACTATAATAATAATATAAAAAGATTTAAAAGAAAAAAAAAATTCAAATTTCTCTATTTGTATTATATATAACTCTTTTTAGAAAAATATAAATAAAAAATAGAAATAAAAAAATATTAATTAAAAATTTAATTTTAAAAAAAGCATATTTCAGATCAACACAACTTTTAAATATAAAATTAAAACAAAAACTTAGGATATGTTATATAAATAAATAAAGAAAACTAAATATAAAAATTAGCAAATGAGAAAATAATAGACAAAATATGAAAAAAACTTAAAAAAAGAAAAATTCAAATAAAAAAAAAGATAAACTAGCAAAAAAGAAAAAAAAACAAAAAAAACTAAACCAAATTAAAGAAACTAAAAAATAATATTAAGACTTGTTATAAAAGAAGAAAGACTCTTTTATTCTAAACTTTAAGTAATTAACCAAACAGCCTACTTCTGTTTTAAGTAGCATAACAAATTGTACTTAAGTACTATTAAGGTGTCTGGGTGATGTTAGATTTAGATGTTAGGTGTTTTTTTCAATATTTGAAATTAATGTTCTTAGAGTTTTTATAAAAACACAGATTTGTAAGTAAGAACAACTAAAAACTAAAAATTTTAAATTTTTTATATTAGAAAACACTCAACATTGATTCTAAAAACACTAAATAAAACATGAGAACACTGATTTAGTCATAAATTTCAAACACTAATCTCTATGTACTTGCAAAATTAATTTCAAAAAAATCAATAAAATACTAGCATAACTGCTTAAAGAAAAAAAACACAATTTTTCTTTTATATATGCATATGAAAATTGCTAAATACATATAGTGTATGATATATAGGTAATTTATAAAAATGTGTAATGTTCAAATAAAAACAACGTTTGTAAATGAAAATTAAACATTGTCTAATATTAGCCTAAAGATAGATTTAAAATAGAAGTAAAAAATAATTTAAACAAAAATTTCACAAGAAATTTTTTTTATTAACGCCCAAAAGGCAGTTTCATAAGCGAACTTTGATTTATAAACAATTTTTAAAGAAAGCAATAAACTCCGTATACAAACAACCTGTGTACAAACAGAAATCGTTGCATATATATATAATCAAAATTTTAATAAATATCAATTAACAATTTATTTTAGCTTAGTAATAGAGGTATCCTTAATAAAATTTTTAGTAAATCTAAAAAAACATGTTAAAATTTTTAGCAGGCAAATTTTCCCGCTGAATGGCTTAAAAGATAAAGAATAAGGAATATATATTTGTTATATATCATCTCTGTTACTAGTGAACAATATTGAGTTTTTGGTTTAAATTACATGACTTTATTCTGTAGTATGTTAGTTAAAGTCATTTAATCACTTGTATAAAGGTTCTTGTCAGAATAAAAACCAGAGTTTTTAAAAATTCAGAGGTGTAGTAATTATTTAGTGCTAGATCAGTACATGTAATCTCAGTTTTCTTCAGAATGCGTGCACTTCTTTCTTGCAAGTACTTGTTTGTGTCTTATCGTCGTTTTGTTATCTTTAGCATTTAGCTCACTTTCAACATTATTCATAAAGTCATCATATTCTCCAAATGAAATGTTCATAAAAGAAGCCAAATAATCACTCACACTTCTATAATACATTAGAATAATTTCAATAAGAAAATCACCAAAAGCATAGCCTTTTCTGACCTGTGTTTCCACAATTCGATACGTTATATATTCGGTTTTTCCAGTTTCATAAAGGTAATTTTCAAAGTTTATCAATATATCATAACTAATATTTTGTGCCTTGAGCCATGATATCCCTAAATGATTACAAGAAAATATTTCATAGTAAGTAAGACTTTCTGAATGCATTTGCTCTTAATGTACCTCTTTTTTAATGCAATTTATACTCTGGTTCAATATTTATTTGACCCATAAATGTAATTGCTTTTTAAATGTACGTACGTTAAAGTTCGTTTCAACGTACTACATTTAGAGGCCTTACTGTATACAGTCAACTCTCCCAAATCCGAACCTGTATAATCCGAATCCTTAATAAACTCTGTAAAAACCGAACACAAAGCTTCAGAATATTTGTAAATTCTGTTTAAAAGTTCGGATTAGCAACATAGTAACTCTTTGAAAACTGAATTTTTTGATACTTTTACATGTTAGAACGGTCCGTTCGGAATAGAGAGTTGACTGTATATGTTTTTAGAATAAATGCACGATAACATACATGCGTTAGCTAATCGTGTATATGCTAGCCCAGAAGTAAGGTTCGTTTTATGTGTATATACAACCTAATATAAAATAACGTTAAAATCTATAAATATGATATTATATAGTTCAACACTTTTTCTCACCTCTAACCAACCTCCCGGCTTTAATACTCTAAATATCTCAGATAAAATTTCTTGAAATATAGTTTTTTCAATAAGTAAAAATTTATCTCTAGAAAAAACATAATCAAACTCATTATCTGGGAATGATATCTTTTTAAAAACATTATATTCAATAAATGTAATATTATTAAATTTATCGCTAGAATCTGGTATGGTAGAATCAACTGCATAAAATTTTGAATTGGGATATTCAGCAGCAACCTAATATAATTCTGAAATTAATCACAAAAAAACAGTTATGAACATTCATAAAACGGTAGTAATGATAAATACCTTTGTAATCCAAATGTCACTATCACAACTTATTTTTACGAAATTTAAAAATTAATACGTTTTTGTAAAAGTAGTAAAAAAGGTCTCTATCATTTTCCGACAGCCACTTTTCCGATAAACAAAATCCTGACAAAGATTGACCTGAACACTAACCCTAAACTAATTTGTCATTGTCGGGAAAGTTGTCGGAAAATAATAGAAGCCGTTATAAAATAACAAGAATATGATTTACCGAAATGCTAGTACTTTAGCACCGTTTTGTAATTTTTCATGAACTGGTGCGCCTACATTGCCATTAAACAAATACTCGTAGAAATTATGCATATAAATGCTAGTATCTTCGTCTTGAATAGAAATGAGATAATCTTTTTTTGATGTACTCTCATGTTCTTTAATTTGTGAAGGATTTATCATTGTGTAAAGTTTAGAATATTAACAACCTTGAAAATATGCATCAATTTATTTATTCCTAAATTCGGTGTGTTCGTAACTTTAAAAGAACCAATCATATGTGATAACTATAATTATAAAAAAGCACCATAAATGGTATAATAAAAATGACACGGTCTTATGCCCAGGATCGTCAACAAAATTACTACGTATCCTATGTAATTTTACGCTCACGTGATGATCGACTAAAATAAGCCAATAGATAAATTCAAAACGTTCGCTTAGTCAAAAATTCGTCATAACTCAAATTCTGCACAAGAACCATATTTTTGCGCATTAACAAAAAGTTTATTGACCGATTTTACTGCCAGAATCATTAAATATTAACCCTAACATGTATATACTTGCTGCCCAAATCCAGTTTGGGTTTGTTCACACCCAAACTAATATCTTAAAAAACTTTATTAATAATCTTCATTTAAATAAATAATATATATTCTTATAGCTAGATATATATTAAATATTCACAAAATATCAAACCTATTTTGTTGACTTAATTTTTATAAAATCAATTTGTTTTTGAGGATTTGGGATTTGTTCGGGTTTGCTAGCAAGTATAAACATATATCCTAACCTATACATGGTCACAGAATTTTCGAATGCCGAAAACAATTTTTTAATATCCTAACCTATACATGGTCACAGAATTTTCGAATGCCGAAAACAATTTTTTAATATAATTTCAGATATTAAACGAGTGTAAAAGCACCAACATAACCAAAACCCTCCGTTAAGTCATCAAAGTTTTTAAGCTTTTGGCTATTTTTCGAGAATTTGGTTCATAATTTTTTTTTTTCGGCACAGTGCATGTAAGTACGTAACTTTTACATAACCTTTTTCTATTGTTGGTAGCTCAACCACCAAAAAATTTTCCGGAACGTGACTTTTAGCCTATTAGATTAATGGTATGTGCCATTTATATGATACACGAATTTTTTTCGCGTACAATACGTACAGTAAACCTCACTAGTACACTCCTAAAAAAATGTTACGAAACTGAGTTTAAAATTTTTCCGAATAACAAAATCCTATATTCAAAATTAGAAGTCTATGGTGATACTTAATTGTTGCATTTAATAATTTAATAATTTTTTAGAATCGATTTTTTTTTAAAAAAAAATAAACCATAGCGTATGATGTTTTAATTTCTAAGCCATGTAGTCCCATCACTATCTATAATTCTTTCGCTTCGACAAATAGTAGCGAAATTACACTGAAAATATATATACTTAAACTAGACTTCGGATGTCAATTTTGGTTAATTTAGTTATATATACATACTAATTAAAATCGCACCAGAAACTATTCTGGCTATGCCGTAACAGCTTCTGCTGCATTAATATCAATTCTTTCGATTAAATCATTAATACAAGTGGCTCTTAATATAAGAAAGTTGCCTGGTCCAGTCAAAATTTATTATTAGGATTTACAAAATCTTACATAAAAGTTTTTTCTATTGAGAGTCACTTGTATTTGTAAATATACTCTATTAATAACCGTATTTGACTATTCTACAATTATTTGTCACTATTACATTATTTGAGCTTGTAAAAAAAATTACATAATATTTAGGATTATAAATGACGTTTTTCTTACATATAAACATATAGTTTCTAAGTAATTTGCAATTATCAAATATACAGTATATATTATTATGTCAAAATGTTAAATATCTATATAATTATAAAAATTAGTAACACTTAATATTAAAAATATCCAATAGAGCATTAAAGCAATGAACTAGAGCAAACAAGATTCTCAATAATATCATTCCAGATAAAATATGCATTGTATTATTTCATTTTTATAAACTATTAACCATTTGTCGATTGTTTTAAAATTTGGTTGGATGTTTTTCATCATTTCTTATTTTTTGAAGAAGTTTAAACAGCTCGAAAGACATTTACCTGTATAATATACTATACGTTATTGAAAATTATTTAAATAACACTCATGTGTACATACATCATCTAAGCAATATCTCATCATTGCTAGAATTATCTCATCATCTATCTGCTGGTATTCATATTGCCATTTTCTTTCTCGTGTCGTTTTGGCTCATTCTCATCCGTAAGCACTTATCAAAGTAATCAAAAGTTTTTCAGATTTTTCAACTTTTGTAGTACTTAGGTGTTTCGCTCATATTGTTTAGAATGGTAAGAAATAAGTAAAAGAATAAATAGATTGTGTTGATTAAAATTGATTATTAATCAATACATTAAGCTGCATTTTAAATTTAAACACAGTTTCGTACCATTTTTTTACGGATATACTAGGTTCGTGCAGTACGTACAGTGTAGTGTCACCATAGAATGGGAGAGCTTCCGACAACCAAGCCAAGCTTAACTCCGATGGTTGACGTAAGAGAGATGCGGTGCATGATAATAAATTAAGGAACTCGGATTTTACATGCATTTATTATGTAAAAGAATGTAGGTTTATCTATTCTTTATTTAGAGACGATTTCAGAGAGCATTCTTCTCTCTTGAGCTAAGGGCAAGAGCAACCCTTTAAATACATTTTCATTTCTTATGAGGTTTATGCTAAGCATATAGCATCTATGTTATAACTCTGAATTACACATGCTTTATCACAGGCAACTCATTCTATCAAGTTTATGCGGGAGCGTATACGCTCCAAATATCGCGTATACGCAACTAGGGGAATTCACATGGGTTAAGCCACTAAGAAGACATAAGAATGCATAATATTATAAAGGTAAGATTTACATGGGTATGTGACAACTTAATGGATTAGACAAATACGGAAGTGAGATACACAGGAAAAATTATTCGTTACACTAGTTAACCATTATAGCCTTTTTTCGGTATAATTCTTTTTTTGGAGGCACATAATGTACGTATGTACGTGGTCGAAATTCCAACGAATTAGGAAAGCTATTGAGACGGTCGAAACGGCGAGTCAGTCGCTTCTCAATCGGATATGTCGTGTAACCTACAAGTCGGGCTTAATGGAAGAGGCGTGTTTTATTTGGCAAGTGGATAGTTTATGATTGTAGGTATTATTTTTATTATATAATGAAAGCAGGATATTATTATTAGGGGGGCAAATTTTATTTAGATCACGAACACTGAATGTCTTCTTCGTAGGGCTCGAAGGCTTATTATATATAATTTCGTTTACATAAGGCATGTTATACACTTTATTCGTGATATAGCACTTATACTTATTATCCCTCCTATACTGATTATATTGCTTATACTGATTATTATAATTATACACTATATTCCACTGATCCCCTCTTATTACACTGATATTCATTATCCACCAGATATAGAGGATACAACGTATACTGCCGGTAAACCCATTTTAGGTAGGTGACCGACATAGCCGTTAATTCGTTACTGCGCCACACCGATCACCTGCTTCCGGCGCCGTCACCACCCAACTGCTCACACTATGCTATAAATGGTTCAACAGAGAAATGTTACAGTCTCAACCAATAGAATAAAAGATTTCCGACTGTTTATTTTTCAGTAAACTTTCACTGCATTTTTGTATATTCTTTTTAAAATCCAAAAAATGAAGATTGTCACTCTAGACGATGAAATACGTATTTGAGTGTTTAATATTCCAGTAAGACAAATTAACATTACAGTAACACAGATTTTATTTTAACATACAAATTACAAATATTGTACTGACTGGATTTACATCTAATCACATTTCTAGTTACGGTTTATCATGTAACGATAACAATCAAGCTGAAAAAAAAACAAATTCATTCTAAAATTTTAAATTATACGATTAAATAGGAAGTCTAAATAGTAAGTTATAAATGAACACACAATTTAAATAAATAATTTGAGTAAATGATTTATTTACATGCGCATATACTGTCCATCCATAAATGCATGTTTTTATCTTGACTTAAGAAATAATTAATGATAAATGACATTCTATACTCTGAAAATACAAGATTTTTATATATAAATTTATCTTTCTTAATGTAATTATCAATCAGATTTAATATATGCTTGATTTTGATTATATAACATTTAAGGCTGTAATCTGATTGGCTCTTTTTAGATGCAAATCTCCTTGAGCTCACTTTTAAATTGGGCTGTACAGATTGTATTTAGAGATTTAACTGTATAAATAAAGTTTTCCGAGCGAAATAAACCCATTATTTTCTACACACGTATGTATGTACGCACGTATGTACGTATGTATGTATGTACACAAGTTTATTTATCACAAATTAATCCACGAATTATCTTTTTTACGAATTTGATTATTTTTTTTTTGCCTTTTTGATGCTTTTGATGTTAACACAGATGATATGTATTAATTTACGATTCTTAATATAACCTTGTCTGACAAACCATTGTAAATAAAAATATAAGCTTCTTAACAGTGTTCGCAAAATTTTGGTTTTTACATCCGAATTAAATTTTTTGCTAATATGTCGAAAATATTTTATCCTCAAATAGATCTTTATTTTATAATCGCATTATTACTCTATGTTGTCCAGGTTGTGACAAATCCAACCCAACAACAGCCGGGCATTAAAAAGCGACAATATTATTACCCATATAATAACCCATATTATAACCCATATTATAACCCATATTACACTAATAACGCATATACTTATCAAGTTCCAACATTTAGTGTAAGTAAATGTGGTGGATCATTGGATATCTCAAGCTATCAAATCTTCGTTACATCATCCAAGATAACTTTCCTTCTTGAAATAAAAACTTCTATGGATTTAAATGGGACTATAAGTAACTCATCATCTCTATACCAACTTTGCTTGTCAAAATTTGTACTTTTAATTAATAATAAATGATAATTCCCAGTTCATCCTTACGTTAACGATCTCGAAGCAGACATATTTTACCCTGAGGGGATATGTTCTTCCTCTTCACCGAATCCACAAGGATGTTCGATTTTCAGAACTCAACCTACTGTTATAATCAATACCACTTATACGATAACTGAAGATCTTGGTATTCTTGTTTTTATTCTTTTTTTTTTTTTTTATCTGAATTTCGGAATCTAACTATCATTTGTATATTAATAGTTTTGTTTGCAGATGATTTGGGTGAATTTGCTTGTAATTCATATTTTGTAATAATGCAGCCAAGTGACCGTAAAATCATAGGATGTGTTAGTGCCACTCTTGGTACACTTGAATCACTTGGCTTTTCTTCTGATGCCGCATTAATAACAGACGATCCATCAGGAAACCTTCCGTCTTTATATAATGCTCCATTAGCTATTGCTATGTCTTTTGTAATTCTCAGTTATGTGATATCAAAAACTGGAATTGTGCAAGCTTTACTCAGCTTTTATGTCCCGCCTGATAATGATAAGGTAAATTTATGTAGTAGATATTAACTTTACATGATTTTTTTACTGAATTATTTCTGATATGTATAAAAAGCCTTTACCAAGACCTCCTCCTGAACTCCATGCAACCAATCCTTCTGGTAATAATGGTATGTTTCCGCCTGACCACCATAATACCAATCTTGTAAATCATCCTAAAACTGTCATCAATGGTCATGAAATCTCTGAAAATCAAACTTTTCACAAAAGTGGAATCACTCACCACATTGATGGAACTACACAAAATAATGATTTGTCTACAAATCAACATTTTCACCACCATAGTGAAATTACCCAAAATAATGATTTATCCATCCAAAATAATGATATATCCACAAATCAAACTGTTCACCACCATGTTGAAGTTCAACCTGATCAAAACAACAATATATATCCAAGTGATCCTGGTCAACCTAATCAACCTGGTCACAACCACAGTATACATCCAAGTGAACCTGGTCAACCGAATCAACCTGGTCACAACCACAGTATATATCCAAGTGAACTTGGTCAACCTGGTCACGACCACGGTATATATCCAAGTGATCCTGGTCAAACTAGCCAACCTGGTCACAACCATGGTATATATCCAAGTGAACCTGATCAACCTGGTCAACCTGGTCACAACCACGGTATATATCCAAGTGAACCTGATCAACCTGGTCACAACCACAGCTTATACCCAAGTGATCCTGGCCAACCTGCAAAACCATCTTCTCCTAAAATTCCTAATGTAACTCTAGCTCCTTCTGTATATGATATCTTCCGCGCTGCTCAGTTTTTCGTAACTACTGCATTAATTTCTATAAGTAATCTATCTGCCTACTACCGGGATTTGGCCTCAAAACTTGGTTGGCTATGTGGTTTACCAAATAGTTTTAACTTGTCTTACCTAGCCAGAGTTGCTGATAATGGCATACGAGTCTCAATATGTCATATGTCTAATTTCTGTCAAACAATTACTGGTGTTAATTATTTAAGTACGAATATATGTAATATGGATTCTTCTAGTGGTTTCTATGATTTCTCAACAAGATTATCGGTTCCTCCATATGATTTATTTTTCTTGACGTTCATAGCATTTCTTTCTGCATTGGCTCTTGCAATTGGTATCGCTTTAATTATTTGGCTATTTGCTAAGTTTGGTTCATGCTTACACAAAAAATGGAGCAGCTTAATAACTGTTGCTGATAATTGTCTTTTATTGGTACTTGGTGAGTTACACGTGCATTATTAATAGCGTATTTAACTTATTCCTTATAAGTTCTAAGTTTTTTATTATTTTTAATATTTGCTTTCTATTTGCTCAGGTGGAATGTTACGTGTGGTAATTATATTTAATACTTATAAATTCTTAAATGATAAATTCTTTCATGTTGTAACTAATATTATTTTTTTAGTTACTCCTCTTTTATTATCCTTTAACACTCTTTGCTTGCTATCAATTATATAACTACCATGACTGCTTGTTGTTCCTTGTGCTTGCGGGTTTTTCTATAGCAGTATTTTCCCTTGGAATAATAATCCTTTGTGGCGCTAAAATCTTTAATGATCTATATAAAAAACCCGAATCATTTAAAAATGTTGATCATAAATATGTTTATGGTGCATTATATTCCCAATATGTAGAAGATAGTGTCATTAACAAATCTCGTATCTGGTTTTTTACAATCATGATTTCTTATGATTTCTCTCGAGGTGTTATCGTTGGAATAGCTCAAAATTATAATTTTATTCAAATAATTGGTTTAATTAGTACTGAATTAATTTTATTAATTTTATTATTTCGGTTTAAACCTTATAAAACTGAATTATTTGTTAAAATTGATTTAATGAATACTTTACATATTAGTATATCAATTTTAAAATTAGTGGTTTCAATTTTATTAGTTACTTTTATTTTTGTTTCTAATACTTCTCTTGAAGGTTTTCTTTATTTCTTACATTTTATTGTTGTATTTCTTTTATTGTTGGTAATTTCTTTACAATTATTTTCTACTATAAGAAGTTTCTTCCGTAAAAACCCTGATCAAGAAAATGAAAAGATTGAAAAGTCTGAATGAAAAGTTTTTAATAATAGTATAATAATAGTAATGATAATAATGAATATGATATATATTTATTAGTTATTTTATTTTTTTTTGTAATCATAATAATATATCGATTTGGTTATTTTATTGTAATTATTAGATAAGTTTTTTTAAAAATCTTATTATTGTTAAAATATCACAGAAATTAATTGCATATATTTAAGTTGGAAGTATTTGACTTTCTTAATTAGAATTTATTTTTATATATCTTAAACAGTCAATTTAATTTCAATAAAATTTGATAACTTAATCACAGATCAAAAATGAAATTTCCATGAAGATTTGCCTTGAAAACAGTTTAAGTGATAAAATTATGACCTAATTTTAAATGTCAAATTCACTTACATCCATTTATACTTGCAACATACATAAAAGAGATATCGGTTAAGTGTTATCAGACATTCTGATCACATATTGCTCTTGTGAAAAAAAATTATGCCAAATGCTATCCTTCTGAAATACATATAGCTAAAGGTATATAGAATTCTAATTCTAAACTTAAGTTATCGCCCAATTCTGTATATTGCGATTCAGAATTTCGGCAGATCTCTCGCTAATCTAATCCAACTCTCGCGTAACCTTCGGCGGCTTAGTCGAAATAGGCGTGTTAGATTTGGCTGGTGGTTTATCCGTAGGTAAGTACTGGTCTCCTCTTTAAATCTTTCCTTCAACCTATTATTGTATTAACCTTGGCCTTCTCTTTGTCTATCTCAACCCGGAATTACACTACGTCGAATCGGGGTTGGAACTCTTCTATGACGTTAACGGCCTTCTTGGTCACGTGAATTATGGCGAACAATAATGGCGGGTTCAGTGGTTTATTGGTGAACGATAGGGATAACAGTGTGATTAACGACAGTTTATTAGTTTGTATAGGGTAATACTTTCACTTTTATTATGGGTCGGATATTTAGCGTTATTAGGGGATTTATTGGTCTATGGGACTTGTTCTCTTTTGTCTCTCAGGCAGAAATGCCCTTTATTTATAATAAACGTTTTATTTACATTTGTAATTAATTTCATTCATAAATGCAATATCTTCCTTATATACTATATATTAACTAAATCTAATAAAGGTCAATATTCCATTTATCGCATATGTAACAGAAATAGCATAAGTAACATAAGTAATAAAAGTAATAGAAGTAAAGGAAGTAACAAAAGTAACATTTACATTACTTTTTGCATGACCTTGGATTGGATAAGGATCATTGCTTTGATTCAGGCACCTGTGATTCCAAAAATCGGGCTCATAATATTTTTTTTATCATATTTAAATGTCTTTTTTTTTATTTTTTTCAACTTTGATTCCAAATTTATAGCAATTTTTCAGCCTTATATATTCCTTCTACAAAACCATATTTACAGATTTTTCATAATATATACAATTCCAATTTTATTTGGTGATAATGTTTAATATTATAAATTTTTTCTGTAAAACATATTTTAGTAAATTTTTTGTATTTATATGATTTTGATTTTATTTTTATAATAGTATTTAATACTAAATATTCTTTAATCTAATAGTAGTTGTTCCATCCAATTCGTATGGTACATCAAAAGTTATAACCAAAAATGTATAAAATGTTTAAGGTCTACAATATAAATATTTAATAAAGTTATTAAGTATTATAAATTATAATAATAAGAACAGGTAGTATTGATTTAAAAATCTGTTGTAGCAAGTATCAGTCTCTAAAGAAGTTAAAGTATTAGTATTAGAGACATTATATAAGATGTCTTTTATGTTTTACTTATACTAGACTTTACTGTCAACCTATTATTATTATTGTTTTTTTAAGAATGATATATTATATATTAAGAATATTATAATCTTAGAAATAATAGTTATATCAATATGATCTATAAAAGATATTATTAAAAAAAAACATATATATTTTTTTTTTATAAAATAAGAGTAGTATTATCTGATACTTTTTTAGTTTTTTTCAAAGATGTAAATGTATATTCATATTTCTTTTTAAGAATAATTAAATCAGTATTTTGTATTGTGACAAATAAACAGTTAGTCTGTTACTCCAACAAACAAAACTTCATATAACATTATAAATTCAAGTTAACAAGGTTTTAAGATGTGGATCTGATTTGGATAAATATAAGTTTTTTTTTTTTTGTACTTTATTATTGCTTTTTTTTTTGGTATTAAGATAAGGTCATGCCCTTTAGTCTTTATTAGGATATTTGTTATAACTAGTACAAATCTATTTATATATTATCTACTACTATATATTTATTTAGACATATTTATTTGTGACCTAAATCTACTAAAGTTTTATATAATATTCCACTCACACCTAACCTGGATATTTGTTTCACTATTAATTATATTAAGTAACCTACATATTCTTTCATTTTTTATAATCTATTTTTAACAATTTCTAAATTGGTCTACAAGATTATTCATTTCTTTTGAGTTACTATCTTTGGTTTGCCTAAAGGATGTCTCTCTAAAACATATCTCAAGCCAGGTTCCTGCTGCCACTGCTAACTTCCCAATTCAGGTATTGGTTGCATATATCTCAAGCCAGGTTTTTGCTATTATTGCTGTTTTATAACCTTTCTTGGTCTTAATATTATTTTCAACAGATTGTACATCTAACCTGCCTCTTAAATACTTCCTTTTATGATATAGATAGAACTCTATTTCGAAGATAAATACACATCTTTTTCTACCTATTGACTGACATTTTTGCTACTGTTATATAATGTTACAAGTTTTTTTTTATTTTATTTTTAACTGTAGGCAATTCTTTTGCCTTTTTAAAAACATTCTAAATCAAATCTACATTTAGACTAAGGTGTTTATACTGTGTTCAAGTAGGTTTTTACTTCTAATTTAGGTATCTCAATTATGATTAGTACAGCATTTATATTGATATGTTTCACTTATTAAACCTTTAGACATATAGAACTGACTACAACTTCTCTATACAGATGGTTACCTTCTATACTTAGTTGTTTTACAGTATCAGAAGTGCTTCTAATCTTAATAAGATTAATCCTTTGTCACAAACCTTCTGTGCATGTGCTGCTTCTTTTACCACTCTGGTTTGTGTTACCTTGATATCACTCTTCTAATCAAGTACTTCACAAGTTGGATGTGGAGATGTTAGTATTGCCATATCTTTAGAAAACTTACATATACAAACTTTTGTATAATAGAACTTTCTGTAATACTATTTTTATACATAATATCTGCATTCTGTAAAGCTAGTTTCCTTCTAAAAATTTCTTTTTCCATTATGTACTATACTTGAACTTGATTACAGGACTTCATATTCAATTACAGGCTCTTTATAGGTTATAAAAACTAAAATTTTTTAATTTTTGTCTCTATTTAGATGTGAACTATTGACCTTGACTATAGAGATATAGGAGCTCAACTATTGTTGTCTCAGAAATTGGTGAGTCTATTGCTAAACTAAGCTAACTCTTATATAACCTATGCTAGCTAAGTTGAAACAGACATGTTAGATTTGACAAGTAGAATATCATCTGTAGATAAGTACTGGTCTCTTCTCTATTGAGTCTTTCCTTCAACCTACTCTTTATCTAATTTTTATTTTCTTCTATTGTTTCAATCAGAATTTCACTATATTGAATTAGGATTGGAACTCTTCTCTGTTATTCATTATGGTTTATAGAGCATATGACTAGGCAAATGATCAATTACAGGTTTAGTTTATTGTTGAGATAAACAGGTATTGTTAATAATAGAATTATGATAGTAACTGGTTTTATATGGCAATACTTTCACTTATACTATGAGTCAGATAGTTAGTTTATATTTTACAATTGTAATCACTGGCTTTTTGACTTGGGTGAATTGCTCTTTATTTATAATAAAAATTCTTGTCTATTTATATTATGAGATTGTCTATTATATCAAACATATCTAATATATTATATATGTTTAATTTATCATATATATCACATTTATTTAATATATTACACTTATACAATATAGTATATTGTTAACCTGTAGTTTTTCCTTTAACCACAATGATATCAGAAACTGCTCAACTATAGTATGATGACTATAACTTGACAGGTTCTATACCAAAGTCTATACAAGATTTAACAAAACATAGAGTGATTTGGGATTTTAAGACAGAACCAACAATAGATAGTATATGAAGATACTAAATATTGTATTCAGTGTATTCACTATTGAAATATATAAAGACACTTCTTATTGAAATGTATGAAGACACTTTTTATTGAAGTGTATAGAAACAATTAACTTTCTTGAAGAGTCAGAAAGTAGTGCTTTTATAGATATTTTACATATATAAATAATTATAATAAAGACAACTCTATTGCTAATAAATGCTATTTATAATAATAAGAACTAATAGATATAATAGATATAATATATATAATAGATATA